GAGCTCGCTACTCACAAATGGAGGAGGAGAGGAGGGATGAGCTATTGCCAACTCACGGAGAAGAGGAGGCAAGGAAGGAGGAGAAGGAAAGGAGAGAAAGAAGAAGAAAATAGAGGAGGAAAAGGGAAGGGATGGAGAGAAAGAAGAAGAAAATAAGAGAAAAGGGGAGTTTGCGAGTGATTAATGACGTCAATGGAGGATTTAGAACGGTTAGAGACGTTGGTGAAGAAGAAGATGAAAGAAGAGAAAAAGAGTGTCTCCCACCGATTTAGGAAACCGTCACTAAATGCTTTTTTTTAAAAAAAAATTTTCCCTTCGAGTTTGATATTTACCAATGGTCTTATAAGACCATCTCTAAAGTTACTCAAAAATAAGAGAAATTAGCGACGGTTTTACAAAAAAAGGTCACCGAAAACCCTATATATTTTTTTTTACGTATTTTCCTAAACCATCGCTAAACACCCATAAATATTTGAGGGTTTTTAGTGACGGTCTACTTAAATCATTTCTAAATATTTCAAAAGTATCCGTTATCATTTTTAGGAAAATTTAGTGACGTTTTTTCCTACACTATTGCTATTTTTGATATTTAGTGACGAGTTTAAGCATACTATCGCTAAATATCTCAAAAGTATATGTTAGGATATTGTTGGGATATTTAGTGAAGATCTACTAAAATCGCTGCTAATTTTTATATTTAGTGATTAAGCAAATCGTTGCTAAATATTACAAAAGTATACGTTAGCTTTTTGAGAAAATTTAGCGACGGTCTATTAAAACTATCGCTCATTTCGCCAAAATGGTTATTTAGAGATGGTTTTGGAAAACTATCACTAAAAAACCCAAATAAAGTTGGATATGCCATACCATCGTTAAATACATAGCTTTTAAGTGACGATCTGTCCCAAATCATCGTTAAATTGATCATTTTTGCGAGAGTCCAAAATATAACGAAATTCGTAAGGGTCTACTTAGACCGTCGTGAAATCTTTATCTTTAGCAACGGTTTTGTAAATCGTCGTTAAATAACGTTTGTCAATCCTATATTTTGTTGTGGTGTATATATATTTCTTAAAGTTTAGATCTTGTAAAGGTAATAGAAAAAATATTTTCTTGCCGTGTTTGTACACAAGTCTAAATATATGACTAGCCGGTTTAAGATTTAATTAAAAAAAAAATTCAACTAAAGAATCTTAAAATTGACTTCAGAATACTCTTTAAAAAATCAGACTTATTAGTTCGCAAATGTAGTTTAAATTTCAATGACTCATGCAATTAACAACTAAAGAATCAAATGTCCCCAATTTGTCAAGTTTTGACTTTTGACTGACCAGTTGACTGATCGGTGAGATGTTATCCAAAACGCTAGCATTGCCTAGACGGCTTCTATGTACTGCACGTGTAATCACATGCACTCCCATTCTTTTGTGGTAAATTGGTAAAATGCAGAGAACCAGCAGAACCGAAAGAACGAAATACTGGCAGCGCTATCGCTAGCTTGCAAAAAATTGTTTGGCTTTGCAGTCACGTGACTGCGACCCTGCAATGTAAGCACCCACGTGATATGATTCCCAGTTTTTGTCCATGGTGGTAAACAAATGGCACTGTTTCTTTGGCCACGTAATTATAATTTATAAACGCAATTTTCAGTGACAAGTAAATAAGTATTGGCCAATGTTAGAAGAAGAAACAGAGCAAACTTGAAAAGTCAACTGATACATGTAACTCTGTAGCTCTATTTATAGGAAAAGAAAAACCTGACAAATTGCTACCACCTCGTTGGGAAAACCTGGATTTTTTTATTTTTATTTTATTTCTCGTTTTTTTTTCCTTCTATCCAAGAGACCTCCTCCGAAGCTCCAAATAAACTCCTCCAAGTAAAATTAAATTTGCCAGTGACAGTTGTTGCCTTTAGTCATGTGCCAGGTTCTTTATATTTTAGGATATATTTATAATAAGCCAGATCTTTTTAATTTTTAATTTTTATTTTGTTCTTAGACTTACATCATCGTGAATTCCAAGCAAACTGCCTTGCAGACCAAGGTTTTCGGCTTCTAGACTTTGGACATGGTAGATAGAATAAGTCTAGAAATTATGGGAAAAAACCTTTTTTTTTTTTTTTTCCCTCTGAGATGGTCTCAGACAGGCTGATGTAATTACCCCATCATAACAAATATAAAAAGAACATTATTATGGCAAATCTACAAATATACTTACAATGGTTATTCAATTTCAATTTCAACAAATTCTAACACAAAATATCAATCTTAATTAATAGATAATTCCTCAAAGTGTTCAGCACTTCCAATACTTTCACATCAAAGAGAAAAGAATCCACCAAGAAATTAATCAATTTACATAAATTGATAAAGAAAGATTCGATGAACCACAAAATTTAGCTCGGTTTTAAGTTTCTTCATGGACAGCTCACCAATAATCCAGACAAGAATTTAAACTTTTGTTATAAATGCAGGCACGATCGAGGATGCTTAATTATAAGTGAACGAGAAAGAAAACATGTAATTATATTAAATGGAAAGGAACTCGACTCATCTTAATTTGCACAAGGTCTTATCCACCCAACAATCGAGTGTAATCAATTCTGCTTGGTTAGCAAGGTAAACATTCTTTTCTAATTAAACAAATATAAGCCTTTAATCGTTTGGTTTTCTATAAAGACGTTCAGATTGATAGCTATGTGAACAAAAGGTTTGAAAAATTTAGAAAAAAGGTTGTCGAAGTTTCTTTGGCAGGGGCTACAAACTTTGACTATAGAAATCACTTTTTGAAAGTGGAGTCTGATTTTTTGTCTTCTATACTTGTCAACACGCAAGCATGGAGAGTGTCGGTCCTGTTTCTACTGGCGTTCAATATCATACAGCAGGATTTCTAACACACACGGATTTGACTTCTGTAGCTTACTAATGACGTAGTGAGATCAGCCGGTTACTTTGTTTAACGAAAAAGCTCCATCTTTTAGGACCCACTTGAAATTTTATGATCCGCTAGGATTAGGATTCGAATTAGAGTGGAGGGAAGAATTTAAAAAGGTAATATTTGGGACCCAATGTGAAGTAAATGCAATGGTAGATAAACGTGTAATCTGTATTTATTTTGCAGTAGTCAAGGGAAGGTAAACAATCTTGTTCATGGTGGTGGCTTGCATGTGGGCTTTCGAGACTTTTTGCTGAAAGATGGTTGATATCGATGATTGAGAACGGATGAGTGTATGAAAAGTCAAGTCTCTTTTAAATTATTGCCACCGTTCAAAAAGGAAAAATAAAGATAACCGAAGAAAGCTCATGGATTGAGTTACTCATTCATTTATTGGTTCATTCATTTAAATAGTGTTAGTGTGATTAGATTTTGAGTATCAAGTTCATTTATTAACTCATCACCACCGGCATGATGGGAAAAAAAAAAAAAAACGGAAACAAATGATCATGTTTGATCTAGTGGACAATGAAGAAGAGTATTTAGTACGGGAATTAATTGCACAATTGGCAATATATAATTAATATTCTATAAGGAATTCATTTCCTCGCCAAGCTATTACTAATAACAGTTTCCTAACACAGTGGCATCATGCCAATTTAAAACACGTATAAAATCGGCCTCCTCTAAATCTTGTAATGATTAATTAAATGAATGAAATGCTTGTAGCCTGGGAGAGAATTAATTATTAAACACATGCAAAAGATTGCTCCACAACAAAACTTAGCCTGTTTGGTTCCAGTACATCTTTGAGAGTGACTTCTCACTTACCATCGATATAAAATTTTTGTTTCGAGCCATATGACTCATCTTAATTGCATTTATTTGCAGTCACGATACACACACATATATGTATATATATATATATATATCTTTCTCTTTTAGTTTTTTAAATTCAATAAAAACATTGGTAATCAGTTCATAAAAACAAGGATTGTTTCTTTTTTCGGTTGAATAAAAGGGTTAATAGATTTTGAGTAGCACAATAAAAATATAGTAATGCTATGTTTTTAATTCTCATCTCATCTTTTTCAAGATTTAAATATCCCAGATTTTTTTAGATGAAAATCTTAAATATAGATCGCTTGATTTGATTTGTCTGCGGATCACAAAATAAAAGAAAAGATCCTAGTTAAATAACAAGACTTGAGACAGAGACACTTCTAGTAGTCCAGTACCGTTGGACAGGTGAAAACAAGGTTTTGGTCGCTTGACCACCTTGAAGGGATTCTGATGTGGTGTGGTGTATATTCAATTTCAACTGCAAGTTGAAGCTTCAAATTAACCGTGGCCAAGAGTATAACCAGAAGAAAACATTGTGTCAATAGTGTTAGTGGGGTCCACAACTGGTTTCCTTGCACGAATATATATATATATATATATGATATATATATATATATATATATATGCACATACAGAGTCTATCACTATATGGATATGGTGGGCAGCCGCCCATTCTATACAGTCTCCACTCTCACCCCTTTATTATATTATTAGATTTATTATTAGTTAGCTCTCCAATACGTCATGGTTACTGGAAACCAATAGAACAATAATCGAGACACTCTCCCATGGGAACAAGAGAGAAAAATTCACCAACTACGTACTCTTAGCTCAGACTTTCTGTCCTAAAATAAAGTTAGTAATTTCAGGCACAATTTCATTGAATTTCAAGACTTTCGTGTCCCCATTTAACACCTGCCCTCATTTATACCACCTTGACTTTCTCTCTCTTGTCTCTCTTCTCCGTGTACTTCGCATCTTTCCTCAGACCACACTATTAATGTCCCTTTTCAGATCTTTCTTTTTTTCAATAGTAACAAGTTGGCCTCCTCTCTTCCTTAGTTTCCATTGGTTTGAATTTCTTTGGGTTTCAAGTTCATAAATTTAACTTTGGTGGTTCTATCTTTGTTCTTATACGATAGCTAATTTGCATGTTGTTTGTATCATATTCAAGATCTAAACGAGCCATCTGGTTTGCCGTTTCTGCTTAGCACATACATTTCATGGATCTTGTAAGCAAAATCTATGGCTCTCAATCTCTTCCACCAATGACAAGTCCAGCTGGTAGCTCATCAATATTTGGACCTCGTACTCATTCGTCTGATAAAAGTTTCCCAATTATAGCCATTGCCATAATAGGAATTTTGGCCACAGCTTTCTTGCTTGTAGGCTACTACATCTTTGTCATTAAATGCTGTCTGAATTGGCACCGCATCGATCTTCTAAGGCGATTCTCCCTATCAAGAAATAGAAATCACGAAGATCCTTTGATGGCTTACTCTCCTGCTGCAATAGAGTCTCGTGGACTTGACCAGTCGGTGATAAGGTCAATCCCAGTATTTAAGTTCAAGAAAGAAGGCAGCAATGTTAGAAACTTAGGAGAAAGTAGCTTCTGTGAATGTGCGGTTTGCTTGAACGAGTTTCAAGAAGCTGAAAAGCTAAGAAGGATACCAAACTGTAGCCATATTTTTCATATTGATTGCATTGATGTTTGGCTTCAAAGCAATGCTAATTGCCCACTTTGTAGAACAAGCATTTCGAGCACCATAAGATTCCCAATGGATCATATTATTGCTCCAAGCTCTACACCCCAAGATCCAAATCCTTACAGCGAAAGTCTCATGGGTGGAGATGAAGATTATGTTGTCATTGAGTTAGGTAATCATAACTCTACAGATCAAACATTGATTGCAGCACAGGAAAGATTGAATTCTGGAGAGTTATCGGCGCGTTCAATTAGTCCTTCGCCGAGGAAGATAGAGCAGGGAGTTGGTCACAAGAAAGCAAGGAAGTTTAATAAGGTTACCAGCATGGGAGATGAATGTATTGATACTAGAGGCAAACATGATCAATTCGGATTGATTCAACCCATTAGAAGATCTTTTTCAATGGACTCGTCAGCAGATCGGCAGCTTTATTTATCAATTCAAGAGATAGTGCAGCAGAGCAGGCAAGTAACTGAGGTCAGCGTTGTTGAAGTTTGTAGTGGCAGACCCAGAAGAACTTTCTTTTCTTTTGGTCATGGTAGAGGATCCAGAAGTTCGGTCTTACCTGTTTATTTGGAACCGTAAAGCCTAAATATTTTACGTCGATTATTTTTCCTTGTAGTTTTTGGTTTTCCATTTTGAAGGTACAGGGATTTTAATTAGATGTGTTAAAAGACATAGGATTTGTGACATAAAAAATATTGAATTGAAATATCAAATTCTAATTTTATTCGATTCTTGGGTTTTTTCCAGTGCTTTTGGCCAGTGGTTTTTGGAAGGGCCTTAGCAAAGCCCTGATTAGTAAGCATCATCGCTGAAAATAACTATTTTTATGCCTATATTTATATTCTGTTTTCTATTTTTTTATCATTATTATTTTTCTCTTTTCAAGCTCGAATATTGAACAACTAAGTGGCTCACTTTGGTTCTGTAAGTATTGGAACAGGATTGACATTACAGTATCTGGTGCAAATATGGGTTGCCAAGCGGAGGGAAGAGCTCTTACCAGAACTTAAAATAAGGAAAAAAAAAAAAAAAAAGTAAGGAAGAGGTGGAGGTCCCATGCATTGATTTAGGCGTTAGCTAGAGAGGGTCCTCTTTAATTGATAGAATCATAGAGGGTTCAGACTCTTGTATCAATAATACTAGCTAGTGTTGGTGGAGAGAAAATTACAAAAGAAGAAGAAAAGAAGGATTATAAAATTGCAAATTAAGGTCCCCTTCAATTGATTTAGGAGGTGGAGAAAGAGTCCTTTTCAGTTTTCATTGAGAAAACCATGCCAACAGCCACCAACCTCTTAAGAGTCATTAATTCTTATGTTGGTGAAGGGGGAAGTACACTGTTTGGTCATGGTTGGTCATTGTTCTTGTTGTTTCTCAAAAACAACTATTTCCAACCTGTAGGAATCATCTACTAATGTGTATGTCTCCAATGATGTTAAACAAATGTAGAGGTTGGTTGAGCATCTGAATGAATAAGTGTAAGGACCATGTAGAGGTTGGTTGAGCATTTGAATGAATAAGTGTAAGGACCCTAGTCTTCACTATACTTCCATTGTCAGTTTTTTGAACTTCTAAGTTGAAATTCTCAAATGCATGTCTTGATCTTACCATATGCTTCGCAAAATCATTTCTCCAAAATTCCCATGTAGAATAAGTGCATCCTATTAACAGATTACATGAATCTAGTCGTCGAGAATTTTTCAGTAGTGGGGAGAATCTTTATGCACCATTAACTAGCATTACTCTTCTTATATTCATAGGTAAGTTTCAATTTGTTCTCTAGATGTTTTTGTGTTTTTACAACTTCACCTAAAAAATTTTATTTGTTTCAATTAGATTTTGCATTTTTTATTTCTGTTCTACTACGGATAAATATTAATTTCATTTTCAAAATTTATGGAGTATCTCAATATAAAATAAAAGATATTAATAACAAAATTAAAATTGAAAAAAATGATAAAGAAAGACATTTTTTCCTTAAAACAAATATGATATATTTTTTTTCATCAATACTATTTGGTAATCTTTTGACTGTATAAGAATGAAATTAAGCTAAAAATAAATATGATAAAAAAATATATTTTTTAGTAAAAAGCACCGAGCACTGCTTGTCATTGTCTCATTAGTATATAATATCTATATTTTTTTTTATCTAGTTTTTCATTAAAATCATGAATAAGAATTTTGAAAAGAAAAGAAAAATTAAAATCCAATAAAAATGAAATGATAGCTTGAGTATAAAACAATTTTATCATCATCTAGAGCATAATTATTTGCACATACCAAATGTATTATTTGATAATAATATTAAAAAAAAAGAGGCATGATAGCTGAGAAAGATCAGAATAGTAAAAGTTTTGATGAAAAAAAAAGTTAAAATTAATTTGAATCTTGGATTTATTTAACTGTAGCACTTACAAAGAAAAAAAAGATATTTCTAAATGAGATTTGAATTTGATAGGATTTGAGAATTTTTTGAAAAACTAATTCTTTTCTATATAGATAGATATATATATAGAGAGAGAGAGAGAGAGTTTATGTTTTATTTTTGTTAATTTTATTTAGTTAAATTTTTTGTTTACTTTTTGGATGGTATTGAGATATTTTATAAAATTTAGGGATGAAATTAAAATTTACTTGCCTGAAAAACAAATGAACAGAGAGGGAAAATTATAACAAAAGTGAAAAATAGAAGGGCTAGTTGGAATAAAAACGAAAGATACAGAACCTAATCGAAACAAATTAAAAATTTAAAAATGAATTTGATACAATACATACAAATTGAAATTTACCCAAAACTCAAAGATAAAAACAGCTGGATTTTGAAGCTGTGCATCAAAACTAAAGAACCATAACAATGATACTCTTAAATTGAATATATGAGACGACAGTTCTATACATTGTTGTTCGATTAGGATTACACTTTGGTTCCAAGGAAAACTGTAGTAGTGTTATTTAAGCCTTTGTATTCATAACAACTAAGACAGGCAAGATCTTGGAACACATATAAAGATATGGAGAGATGGTGATACAGATTGTGAGTTGGAATATCAGAGCTCCCACGAGTCCACCCCAAGAGACAATGAAGATGCAGCACTCCAAGGTATATATCAAAAACATCACCCATGTCTTGATGGTTGCAGAAATGTGCTTAATATTCTATAGCCAAAGCCATAAATTTATCCCTGATCTCTGACAGTCTAACTACATAACCCATAACTTCAGTTCTTGTTTTGCTCTGGTTTTTTTTTTTTTTTTATTAGCAGACAACCACTGACTTGATAATAAATATGACTATAACAGTGGCTCTTCTATCTGATAATAAATATGGCCTTCAATTTTCCTAAGCCATGTGCTTGTATGAATGGGCAAAGATAACGCATCTGTGGACACACTTGAGGCACCCGTGGGATGTTGGGAAATCTAATGAATATGAAATGGCCTTTGCTAACGATTTTTTTTCCTAAAAAAGTCTACCAAAGTATCTGATCATAGAATGAATTTGTTTAGAATTCACTACTTCATGTTTAAAAAAAAATGAAATATTTTACTCCTTAATTCCGAAGTTTTGCTTTTTATCCCTCTTGGTTTTATGGTCTATAATTTCATTTCGGTCATGAGAAGGTGAACTACAATATTAATTATTTCTTCTATTCAAAATGATAGTCTTATTTAAAATATTTTTTTAAAAAACTTATTAATTATAAAATCATATTAGTATTTTTTAACAATTTTTTTTTTATATATATATAAATCTATCCAATTAGTCTTGTATTAAAACTAGAAATATTAAATTTAACTAGAAAAATATTTTAAAATAGATATAAAAAAAAAAAAAAATTGGAACATGGGAGCAGAATTTTACTTCTGGACTGGGCTTTGCTGAATATCTGACCCGAATCCCATTTCATTTTTTGTTTTCCGTTGCAAACTGGTTTGGAAGAAAGGAAAAGTTAATGAGCAAAACCATACCCACCTGATGGGAGGCCCAGAAATCTTCGGCTCAATTATAAAAACTAAAATTTACTTGGGCCTATTTTAGTACAGAAATAGAAGTCCAAGAATAGATTTATAGCCCAACTCATACATCAAGAAGAGCTGCTGCTTCAGAAATTATTTGGTTGAATAGCTAACAGCACTAAAGAATATCAAAGCCCCACGCAAGTAAGGCAATAATGTATTGGGACTTGGGAGTATTAATAACATATCGAGTTGATTATAATATTTAGCGAAACAAATTAAGTAGACCCTCTTATCTTAGAAATTATGAACTAATCCTTTGACCTACGTTGACTGTTATTTCACAGATACAGATAGCTTAGTTCTATAATTTAATTCCTACCGTTCTTCTTAACCTAAAATTCCAAACATAAAAATCCTACAATAAGAGGCCACCATTCTTCTATCTCACACTAACTACGCATATTCTTAAATGTTAAATAAATTTCGTCAATTCCTTAAAATATAGGGAACGAATTATAATTTTTTGAGACAAAAAATAAAAATAAAAATAGATTTTGTTATGAAATAATAAATGTCTATTTTATATTTTCACTACTCACGTGATTTAATTCATCATTCAATATGAGAAATTGACAGGGTTATACAATTGATTTAATTATTTATGTATTTTTTAATGGTTCATAGTTCCTTCTAATTTTCTTCATAATATTAAAACCTATAAATAAACTTGATTATTCATTAGTTTGAGTTAATACGTTTTATAGAGATTTAGAGAATTATTTGGAGTCATTATCTCTTGTATTTACTTTGTTTTATAGCAAATTCATTTTTCTATCATCTTTTTCTTCAATTTTATTATTATTATCATTTTTTTAATAACATGTTGTTAGCACGAAACTCTAAGAAACCGAGATGATAGACCATGAGGTATGTATCTATCAAAAGAGTCAATTATTTGTTTCAATCATTGGATTGGTTTTCTACACGATTGTTCTACCAAGAGAACTAAATTATCTTGATTACTAAGAAATATGCATCTAATTTTTCCTTTACTTTATATCTAATGATACGTTGAGTATACATTTGAAAAACTTGAATGATTCAATATATAAAATTTAACTATCTAATGTATTTTATTTGCAAAGCTTAAAATTTATTATAATTTTTTAACATTGTTATTATACCTTTTATTATCGAATTTTTATCATATTTGCCTTACAAAGCTTGATTTTGTGGCAATTGGCATTTCGGGCAAGAATTATTGATCATGGATGCTTGATGTTGAGAAAATATTCTTTACTTTTTATATCTCGAATATGCTTCTATAGTAGCATTATCGAGAAAAATATTTTTAGAAATATTCTAAATTAATTTCATACTTGCTTGTGGTTAAACGAAATAACAAGCTATTGATGAAAAATCATGAATCCTACGCAATTAGGTCTAACTCATTCTTTGAAGTGATTGTGACAATTTATAATAATTTTGGGCATGGACGAGATGTGGTCATAAATATAATCGTATCGAATAATTATTGTTATAATCGTGATGACCATATTAATACATCTTACCACCGAAATGGATAAACTATGGAAAAAAAATAACAAAAGAATAAAAGA